GAGGAGTGGAGAGGAAAAGAGAGAAGCTGGCTGCCCTACCCTAAAGCTGTGTTGATATGACAGTTGTCTGAGGCCAAATCTGAGGCCAACTCATTCCACTGATAAATGCCTCTGGCTTTACCAACCTTCACACTGAGGGATGCATGCACACTGCTTTCTCTTTTTTTCTCTGTCTGAGGTTGCGACTCTTTTTCGTAACACTTGAGCGTTAGATAAGTTATATCGGAGCAATCATTATAAATTCCCTACAAAAAGAGACCATTATTGGCTGATCTGAAACATAGTTCATTCTCATGCTGTGTTCTTTCACTGCCGTTATCTTTGTTACATTAGCCCGACTCGGCCATGCTGGCACCAGTCAGCAGCACTCATGTCCGTACACTCATATGCCCTGCTTATCATTTTTGTCTTGGAATGGATGTATTCAGCTAATGGCTAATAAATAAAACTAATTAAGTTTATGATAATGGGATGATAATTCGACATCATTTACTCACTGACTTCACAACTAGGACACCTTGGTATTTCACTGAGTCAAGAGCACAGAGAGATACCTGGAGCCAATGGTGCCAGTGGGCTAATACTCACATTATGTCTACATTATCTCACTGTGCAATGGAGCCATATCAAGGCTAGAAAAATAACAAGGTAATCAATTAAGTTAACCATGCAATTAAGTTAATTAATTGCTTGTATGCCCAGGAGTTTCCTGGGGCTTGTGCTGTGGACCGCATTACTACACTGGCCAGTGATTAGATTACAGAGTTAGTAATGCCATTGGAGGCTCAAGTGTGAGAGCTGCAAAGTGGAGTCCCACTGGTTGCTGTAAGCTTCTGTTTCCAAATTAACAATATAATGCATCAGCAGCATAAATATGGAAGTTGTTTATAGCGACACAAGTTAAGAGTTAAATCACTTTTGATAGAATCTTCGTAAAAATAAAGATTATATCACCGCAGCGGAGTGTGCTTTTGTTTGCTGAGTAGGAAGTAAAGCAAAATTGCTTCGGCATCTAACAGACAAATGCATTAGATAATTTGCTTACTGTGCACAGATAAACAGCTGATGAAAACAAAACAGCAGGCCTTTTAAATTCTACAGGCCCAAAAGGAAAATGTCAGTGTGTTTCAGATACCAGATTTTTTCTGTGTGAACTGTTTTAAAACAGATTTAAAAGGCAATGGTCACACTGTGATAACATGGGAAACTCACATACATCACTAGCTTGGAAGGAAGAATACATGTCCATACACTAGTTAGGACCCAGTTGCACATGAGACACAGTGTCCAATTACACATTTTTGCAGCCTGATAAATTGTTGTGGTAACCTAACATCAACTTCCAAATTGCAACTTTTGTTGTTGTTTTTTGGTATTGTCACATTTCTATATTGTATTTTTAACAAGGATGGATACATAAAGCACCAGGTATTAAATGATGGTAAAACTTTTGAGCCATTGTGCATGGGCTTTCATAAAAAGAGAAAAACAAAACAATTATATTCTGATAGAAGAACATATACACTTACACTTGTAATTGTTTGCACTTTTGTTTAAATCATGTTGGCTCTAGCCAGCTCAGTAAGCATTCATCTCAATGATACTGCTGAATATGCAAATCAGAACTTAATTGGTGTTTCATGATTAACGAAACCCAAGTAAACAATCCCCCAAATCCCTCATCTGTTTATCAATTCACCTCGCTGCCATTTTAATTTATTACAAACTTAGTTAGGTGTACAAGTGCAATACTTTAAAAAACAATGCACACAAGATAAAATGGCAGACTCCCAGCACACTTTCTGAACACTAAAACTCTTAACTGATGGAGTAACATATTGGTCCTGACATAGACCTTTATCAGATCTCAACAGGGATGTAAAAAGAAAGGTGTGTACAGAATTTGGCCCATATGTACATACACTCTAGGTTATAAACAGGCAATTATCATCAGATTATGGATTTCTTTGAAATCAGTACATCAACAGACAAACGCTTAATAGTAGCTTTATCATTCACAGAGACAGAGACAGACAGAGATTGCCTTCACTTCAACTAACTGACTGAAGTAAAAAATGTCACATTGTAATTGACGTTATCCACCATTTGTCATTAAAAACAGGGTTAGGGTTAGGGTTAGGGTTAGCAAAGCACAGCATGTTTTACTTTGAGAATTACAAAACACACACACACACACACACACACACACACACTACACTCTCTACTATACTAGACATCTTGGTTGGATTTTACCAGAGCAGAATGTGTCCCTGTCTCTCTTGTATTATAATGAACACGCTGACAGTCGAATGAGCATGGTGTCACTGTGCTAGTATGCTTCAGCGACATGCTGCACAGCTGTCCCACTATGATAGTACACCACACTCTGTTAAAGGATCATAGTACAGCCAATGAAACAGGTAGGATTATGTATGCTGCGAAGTAGGCTGAATGTGCCTTTATTTGGATCCCACTATTGTTCCTTTCTAGTCATTTCATTCAATTTCTAGGCTTTCCTAAAAGCTTATTTTCAAAATAAGAAGGTGACATTTCCTAATTTCAGACATTTTTTAAAACAGGATTAGGAGCACTTAATTTAGCCTGCACAGAAAATGTACAGGAATGTCTACAGTCACGGCAGCTAGTTCAATTGACCGGTTGGATGGATGGATGGATGAATGAAATTTAAAGGGTTGTTTTGATGTAAATGCAGCATTATGTGATGCACTGATGGTTTTCTTACAATCAATAATGCATTTCATATCCAGGAAATCTAAGTTGTTTGCGCTGAGAGAACCATATTCAGTCCTTATTTCGGATCAAGAAAAAAAAATAAAAAAAAAAAAAAAAAAAAAAAAAAACAAAAAAGAAAAAAAAAAAAAAAAAATAACATAAAAAAAAATAAAAAAACACAAAAACAAAACACAATAAAAATATAAAAAACACAAAAAAAAACATCAACAAAAACATAACAAAACAAAAAAACAACCACAAGACTAAACTAAACCAAACATCACCCACACACTACAAACACACACACCACACACACACCACACACAAACATCTCACAACATACAACAACACAAACAACATCCACAAAAAACACATAAAAAAAATCCACACACCCAACACATATAAAAACACACCCCAAAACAAATCACAAAAATACACAAACAACAAAAAACGAACGAAAACACAACTACACACACATTTAAAATAAAAAACACACAACCAACCAACCAACAGCACAAACACACCACACAAACAAAAGAATAAACACAAACACAACAACCATCATCAGAAACAAAACAACAACACCACAAAACTACAAAAAAAAACACAAAAAGAAAAAACCACAAAACAAAACAAACCTATCCAGTAAACACAAAACCACATAAAAAAGATCACCCACATCCACATTCCAAACTATCATCTCATACTCACACTAAAACAACCAAAATAAAAAACCGAAACAACACCAAACAAAACCAACCAACAAAAAAATAAAATACATCAATAAAAGTACAAAACATACAACATCAACCATAACAAACAAATAAACATAAAAAAACAAAAACCAAACAAAAACAAAAATAACAACACTCCTCACGACACAAGAAAACACAGACAAACCACATTAAGACTACACATAAAATACCAAAATACTAAACAAAGAGACAAAACAAAAATATCAAAAAACACAATACAACAAACCACAACAACAACAGAAACACACACACCTCACCACACACCCAAACAACAAACACAAATACAAACACATACACACATGCAAAAACTCTCAGCCAACCACCCCCACACAACAATAACAACGCCCACCAAAGAAACACAAAAAAAAAAAACCAACTCAACCAAAAAAAAATACACTTCACAAGAATAATAAAAAAAACACCAAAAATATGACACACAAAACAACAAAAACACCCAAAAAACCCCACCACCCCAAACTCCCAAAAACAAATAACAACAACCACCACCCCCCAATCTAAAAACTCACACACCTAACCAACATAAAATCACCACCCCCACACCAAAAAAAAAAAACGCACCCAAAACTCCAGACCTCTACAACAACATCTCCAGCACACACCAAACCAAAAACACCACAAACACTCCCCACTCACAACAAAACACAGCACACAATACAATCACAAAAAAAACCACAACAAACCCAAAACAATCCAAGAAACGAACACAAAATACCCAGTCCACACAAACACAACACAACACTCAACTAAACAGAAAAAACAAACAACATCACTCCCAAAACAACACACCAAAAAAATCAACCCACATATCACAAATTCAACAAACAACAAAGATCACAACACCCCACAAAACAAACCACAACCCAAAATAACCAAAACCACAACAAACACATCAACAAAAACACACAAGAACAAACTCATAAAACTCTCAACCAGACAACACCTAAAACGACAACACACCAAACACCACACACACACACACAACAACCATACACAACCACACAGACCACCAACAGCAAACACACCACCAACACAAAACACGACCACACACACCACACTCCAAACACACACACACTTTACACCACACATACCTACCACACACACACACACACACACACACCTGAGTCCTTGGACTGCAGGTGAGGGAAGTAGGGGAAAAAATGCTCATTTTAATTGAATTCCCCTGAGTAAGCTGGGGAAGTTCACCCATCACTCTAACACATGGCTCCTATTTTTAAACACACACACACACA